GCAACTACTTTGAGCTGCTTGACAGAATTGGACGATGGGCGGACGACCAACCTCGGCCACTGCTGTGGGAACGAAACGAACGTTACTACATTCCGTCGTACCATGGGACATGGGAAAACTTTACCAAAACGGTTGAAATCGACCTCGTACAGTCGGGCAGACAAGCCATCTTCGGGCCCGTTGATCACGAAGACAGAAAGTCTCTTTCCTTTGAAGAGCGCGGCGAGAGGGCTCTCCCAGACAGCTGCGGCGCCGGCCACAAGCCTATGCAGTGCGGAGTTGGCGAAGGCGCCGACCTCATCACGTTCAATCCCATTTTCGACATTGCCTACTCTGGGTGGGTATTCTCCAACGACATTGTCGGCTACAAGAACCCGTCGTACGAGAATCCTCCGCGGCGATCGTCCATTGTCACGGCAGGCCGACTGAGCAGGAGGCTACTCATGTCGATGCACGAGGAGGTATGGCGCCACCACCGCACCATGTTTGCCGAAATGTTTCCCGCATCGGTGGCCCTCCACCACGGGCTCAAGGCCGTGTACGCTCCCCATCCCGTCTTTTTGGACCGGGCCTGGGCGCCCGCGGGTTCGGCCGTCGACGCCGTCTTCAACGGCGGCAGAGACCGCTCGACATCCGGGTTAAATAGCCCCTTTTACTTCTTCAACGAACACAACCACAAGGGAACCAGCTTCTACTACAACAGCGAGTTCCCCAGCCTCTTGTGGAAAAGATGGCTCGGGTACGCCCAAATGGACGGCCGTGGACCATTCGGGGGCCGCCGCGGCGCCGGCACCCTTCGCGGCGGATACGAGGAGGAGAGCCGGAGTGACAGCACCGGCCGCATGTGTCTGCGGAGCATGCTTCTGCACCCCATCAAGTCGGAGGGTCCTGATTAGTCTGTCGCTGCAGTTTTTTAGAGTTTTTTTCTTTTCTTTGTTTATATCACTCGTTACATAGACAGCAAGGCGTAAGCATACCCACCGTCAGTCAGGTCACGACGGGTGGACCGGACAATTTCTTTCGTTATGGGAAGCCTGGGCATCGGCGCCGTCAGGCATGTAGAATGGGGAGGGGCGTTTTCGGGACCTGGGTGCTTTTTGAGTCGCAAAGTAAATAGAGTTGCGTCAGCCGGGAAAAGGTGCTTTGCCAAGCCGGGATTTTGTATTTTTCTCGATAGTCTTATCATGTACTCGTCTGGGAAGTAGAATTAGTCGGATTTGCACGTGTGCCCGTCAGCGACGATGCGGTGATTGGGTAGACTTTCAACGGAATAGGCCCCATTGTCAGTCAGGGGAGTGCACGTCGACGTACCAGTTGACATCTAAAATGCGCAGTTCCTTGTGCAAAGCCGAATCTGGTGCAGACCAGTGCGCAGTCGCCCATCAAGCCTTCCAAACCCACAGGCCGTATTGGGTTTTGAACAGTCCCTACGACAAAAGACACATGCACTACCTGTCAAAGGGTTCAAATGTTCAGAACGAAGAAAAACATATATTCCAATCATCGGCTCGTATCCTCTACCATCCCACACCGAGCCAACTGTGGCCCTCATCGCCCATGTATCCCCGGTCCCAACCCAAGCAAAAATTCCGCACCATGATAAAATGAAAAGAAAACGACACGCAAAAGCACCTCGCTTACCCTTGGCACTGCAAAAGGCAAGTATAGGCGCACGACAAGTAAATCACAAAGACCAACGATAGCCACCATCAAGGGGTTCCACTCATCACATCGCCTAGCAATGCAATCGATGATTGTTCGGGGCCGGCTGTGGCCGCAGTAGGGGCATGTGGAAAGAAAGGCGAGTAGTTCCCCAATATACAAAAAAGTGATGAATGTCGCCCCGAACAATAGTAACCCAAAGAGCCTCCCTCAGCTTGACAAGCTCACCCCCGAGCGTCAGCCGTCCTTCCGTATGCAGTTCGTGGCAACCCAAATAACATAAACAAGCCCATCATGGGCCATCACCTCATGCGAGGCAACCTGAATACGTCGAGTAGAGTCGTCGGGAAAATCGAAAAAAGGTGGGTATTAAATAGTAGCTTTAGCAGCAGATGATCAGGTGAAACCGCTGGCCGTCAAATAAAAGCGAGACAAAGAGGTATCGAAGCCACGCCGCGACGCCATCAACGCCCTGAACGCCACTTCGAAAGGGATACATGAGAATCCCCTGAGAAGAGAAAAAGCAAACGTCGCACCAAGAGGATAGGACATGTCGTGTCATAAGCGTAAAATAAGGAGAACCGGCTGCCAGTGATATCGCGGCATGAAGGCGTTGAAAAGTTGATTGCAGGTGTTGTTTGCGACATGTATTGACCAACGTGTATCAAGCTAGGGGCTGAGAAAATATGTCGTGGTTCTCCTTTATTTTCTCAACACAGCCTCGTACATGCTCACGATGCCCGTAACGGCTGTGCCAACAAGGATACCTTTGTAGCCACCATAGACGGCGCCGTTGAGACGCTCGATGGACGTCTCAGACAGGAAGCCACCAAAGGTGACGCCCTGGCCATAGACAACGTACGAAACCAGGGCCTTGACGATGCTGAACGTAAGAGGGTCGACCACTGTGTCGTTGAGCGCTGCCCTAGAGCGGGTTCGCGGACCAGGGTGGCTGGTGGCAGTCAGGTTGAAGAAGTAACCGAATAAGCTGGGGAGGACAACGCTGGTCAGAGCCCAGGTAAGAGCCGGAGACCAGAAGCTCGAGGTCAAGATGAGGAACATGTCGGGCAGGTAGATGGGGTAGTCGGAAGTGCCAATGGCGCGGATGGCGGGGATGGTGAAGGCATAGCGGTTAGCCAGTATCTCGGGTCGGATGAAGTACAGTTCGAAAGCAGCGACGACGAAAAGGATGCTGGTGACGGTACTAAGAGTCTCCCGGGTAGCATTAGAGGCTTCCGTGATGCCAGTCTCCTGGTAAATGGAGGTGACGCGCTTGCGCATGGCGATGGTTGAGCGGTCAAAAGCGTTGGCCACGTCGGCAGGAGTAGCTGGCAGGGGAATGCGAGCAGCAACTTGAGAAAGGCTGCGGGCAGGAGTACGAGTAATGGCAGTGGAGGATCCACGCTCGTCGCTTCTGTTGGTGCAAGTATATGGGTTAGCCATAATGAAAGTTCACGTTGCGAGACCAGAGTCAAGTTTGTCGCGTCCCTCGGCGGGATGACCCGGTGAAAGCGACTAAACGACGTTCGGATACTTACTCAGAAGTCAGCTCCTCGAGGGCCTTGGTGACACGACGCTTGGTAACCTTGAGAGGTTTGTCGCTCTCATCCTTAGAAGAGTCCTTCTCCTTCTTCACGGGGGAACCAAGAGCCTTGGAACGGCTGGTGAAATAGGGAGCCAAGTCGGAGCGGTTGGCCAGGCGGCTGCTGTTTTCGGCGATGAACTCGTCGAGCGCGACCTCGAGCTCGCTCTTCTTGAGACCCTCGTAGCTAGAGAATGCGCAGACTGGTTAGCACACCATGGTTTTCGGTTTGTTTTGTTTACTGCACAATTCGCCACGTGCAACGACGGCGAGGAGGTGCAAAAACTGGCGCGTTCCGACCTGGCGTATGTCGCGCAGCTTCAGGAAGGGCAGTTTTGTCTCTTGCTCGATGCTGCGATGCTGCATAGTCCAATGTCCCATGGTCGCATCAAGCTCTTTTGGCGCGCGGGAGCTCCAGCTGTCGCGAACCCGACGCGCCCACAGCCCAACACCACTAGTCTCTGCCCGCAAGAAAAAAAAAAGACGAGGTACAAGAAAGGAAAACAGCATACTTTTTTAGGCCGACACTGTCGGCGACCTGGACGAGATCGAGCTTGCGCTGCGCACGCAGCCAGGCGTTGGTTTGCGATGAAGACATGGTGGACTGGATTTCGGTTGTTGCGCAAAAGTTGGGTGTAATTGATGCAAGAGCGCAAAGCAACCTTGTAATGGAGGAAAAACCGAGAGGGCCACAAGGTTGGTTGTCTTGAGCAACAAGGATTTGATGCTTTGACGATGTGTGAGCCGTAGCGGGGAACCAGGTAATATGAAAAGTAGCAAAGATGGGATTTTGACTATGGTGTTTCTCAAGAGATGCAAGAGGGGCGGGTGGATGGCTGGTTGTTGTGGGTGACAGCTGAGGTGTGTTGTTTACATATGTTTTGTTTTGGCCGGGTGAGGTGGAGCCAAGGGTTGTCAAGAACGTCAGCGGCAGGAGCTGGGGACTCGGCAGGGCAGGTGCAGCAGGTGGGAGGAAGGCGCGCGGCTGTTGTCATTGCCAGCTGCCACCAGGTGCCGGGGTGGGGCCTAGATGAGTCTGGTGTAAATGGTTCCAGATGTCAATGTTAACGAACATTAAACACCAGACAGGTTTAACTGTTCTGAAATTGCTCTGGACTGCTCTGTCACAGTATTATTGAGGCATTTCTGGCCCACTTTTCGCTAGGCAAACCGTAATACGTACTACGTACGGAGTACTAGTACAGAGGACTAGTACAGAGGACTAGAATGTCCTACCAGCTGCGTACCCTATGCGAGGGCATATGGGTTCAGCTCCAGACATTCTAGTACCCGCGCACGAGTCCCTCCCGGGTTTGACGATGCTTTAACCAAGGTATGCGAATCTAAAGAGTCGCCCGAGAGGCGGCTGCTGGAGCAGTCTGTAGTTGCCTGGGCGTCCTTGCTCTTTAGCAGGAATACGTGTAATTTATTGAATCAGCTTTCCCCGAGGGAGAAGAAACTACTTTTGAAAATCATTCGAGCGACACCACCCAGTGCCGCTACCAAAGACCGCATGCGACAGCTTTTTGCTCCCAAGCAACGCCAAGGTGGGTCGCTGTCAACACACCGAGTACCTACCTAGGTAGGCAGCTGTGTACCTAGGTACGTAGTTAAACTGACGCAGGCATCAGATCTGCTCAAAAGGGCAGGCGTTGAGAGGCTACTTGATTTTGAACACGCTCCTAAACGAAGTCAGAAGCGAAAGAGCCGCGAGGCACAGCAAGAGGCGCCCAACCACATCGCCTCCCAGGGGAAGATGGAAACACCAGTGTCAGAACGTCGCGACCTCAGGAGCCCACGTACGGAGCACCTTCGTCACATATTCCATCCAAGAATGTGTGACCGCATTCTGCAAGAAAATGGCCATGCAGAAGTCGCGATACTGCATGATCCAGATGTTACAAAGTGTCGCCTAAGAATCATTGTTTCGCCAGAGTCCATCCCGAATCTAGCAATCAGACTATTTGGGTGTACTCTTGCGGAGACGTCTACAGGGTGGGTTCTACAGGTTGAACAGGGTCCTGATGTAGAACTCGAAGACCGCGGCACTTTCAAGTTTTCTCGTGCAAGCGTGGACGCGGTCGGACTATTGATCGGGACACCTATCCGCCAGTTGGTGGACCACGGGAATGAAATGACGACGCTGCTTAGTCTATACGTTACTGGAGCGCCAAAGTCTAACGGTGTAATCGATGTTGAAGCGCATGCCGACAAACTCGAAACAATCGCCTTGAAGCTCTGGCCTCTTTCACAGTAGTCATCGACATGTGGGCCAAAGCTTCTCGCCAAATGTGCCCTCTTGTTCTTTTCGTCTCTTGAATCTTCTTTTTCATGTTATTTGGGGTCCCTTTCCCTTAACAATGGCTGTCGCAACAATCGCCTCGGGGCCCCATCCCTCATCTCAGAGAAGCACGTGCAAGCCTTCGATTTGAACCTCCAACACGAGAAGGACCTCGTCCAAGCAATGGACTTCAGCACCTAGGGCGATCGCTGTGCCCTGGCTCAGTAGATGGTAAGATCCGTGTTCTCAGATTCCGTTTGGTACGCCGTACAATTATCCCCCCCTTGGGTGCAATCGTCCCCGAATAGGCGGAAACACTTATCACGAATAGACCAGTCAAATTGGCGCAAATTCCGATTATCATGATGTACGGAGTAACCGCTACGAATAGAGCCTCCCGGAAAAAGCAAACACAAGCTCCGGATGACAAGAAGATGTTGTTCTTGTAAAACGCTGCATAATACGTGCCGCAAAAATGGCACCGCTATAGCTTTGCTTTCCGATTGCCATTCTTTCAGATGTGAGTTGCTTCGCAATCTTTACATTTCCCATACCATGGGTAGGCCCATTTGGCATCAACGCCCTTTACTTACTCTTCATTCTTAGCTCTCCTTTTTAGCTCAAGATGGCTTAAAATCTCGGCTCATATTTGAGAGTCATCATACCATGGTTCATGACTGGAGAAAGATATATCCCTCGGTCCAGTCCGACGCGTCTATCGGACTTTGCCCATCAGGTCGAAAACATCACGAGCGTGGCTCTTACCTATAACCGGACCAAAACAGATGCCACTACCATAGAATCAATTTGGGGATGATATATTGGAAGACACGCGAGATGTGTCCATATAACGAACCTTGACTCGGTGGAAAGAAGCCGGATACCATACCCAAAGAGTAGAAGAGTCTTTAAATAGTACCCCAAAATCGGCCATGAGCCTTTGCAATTGCGATACATCATCATCTCAAATCCATCTCAAGGATACCTAGCTATCGTATTGCAGGCATTTTCCACTTTTGTAACCAAGCTACCATCTGTGAGCTCCAGCTCCATTGACTTTACCAAGACACTCCTACCAGCCAGCCAGCAGGTCAAATTCCATCACCTAGGAAAAGCAGAGGAGAATAAATAACCCTGCCACAGCGTTTATTCCAGGCACTGTACTCCGTAGTAGGATACCGGACTTGCTAATAGAAACGAGATGCATCCGGAAAGCGAGGAAGTTGATTTAAGCCAGGTGACAGATGCCTGGCACCCACTCATTTTTCGCAGCGTCCTTGAATGAGGCAACCGATCGCATCCCAAGCTAGCTTCCCTGCCGTCCAAGCAGAGCAGGACCATGCTCCTCATCTTGTCTGTAACCCGACACATTGGCAGTTCATGTACATCCTCGCGCAAGAATGAACCAAGTTCTCTGTACCAAGGCACTGAGAGCCTCGACAACGGATTTGATAGACGGGGCTCTCGCAAGCTGGTGCCGTATGGTAAGCGAACACCACAACGTAGGCCGGCCCATTTTGATTGGCACCTATTAACAATATAAAATCTGCTGAGAAGTTAATCAAAAACTGCCAGCTAGGGCGTGGGACATTAAGAAACATATATTATAATGTTTCTCTTCTTTTTTGTAGCAACGTATATGTAGATAACCTCGCGTATTGCGGTGCGTGTTTGCACGGTGTCTCCTTCGGCGTGTCCCTGTTCCTGGCTCAAGTAGACCAGGAACAAACCGGTGTTTAACTAACGTTGTACAATTAGCCCTACCGGATAGTGCTGGCATTAATATTAGATAGCACTTGAGGTTTAAAAAAAATTATAAATTAAGACATCTAAATAAACGCAAGTTATAATTGTCGTAAATACGAGTGTCCCACCTTCTAATAAGACGTAATTGGATGTAACACAGCCAAAGTAATCGTCAACCGTACAAAGGTTCAACGCGCCTCCTTGTGCATGGAACTCTGAATGAATGTCCAGTTGCAACTCCCAACTAGGTATCTAGTCGGCAGCTCTATTCAACGTCCACCCAGATCGCTTACTCCCATCACCAATTGTCTCGACGCTGGTAATGGACCAAAGACACAAGTCACACAACCACCACTGTGACTGTACTTCTCACGCATCGTTTCCATCTACAACGTCTGTGAAACTCAGCGTCTTTTGACCGGCGATGTACTTTAGGAATTGCATTATATTCCTTTTGGCCAATTTGCATGGCTCACTATCCAATGGCCGCTGGCCTCTCTGCTCATGCTGCCTCGCACCCGTTACTCTGATTACGTATTGATTGCCCAAGTTACCCAGTTAGCCCAAGTTCTGCCCCCATGCCATGTTAAAAAACAAATGCACCGATTCCATTTCCCCTCCCCATTTCGCCACTATAAACATATTTCGCCTTCACCTTTGTACTATGCATCCGACATCCAGTTGGTAAACTTTTCTTCCCCCCGCTTGACGAGCCGCATTGGTACCGTTTTGCCCTGCAAGCCCAGCGTAATCACAGACTCGGCCTCCGCCAGAGTCTTTCTGCTGAATGCCTGCGCCGTCCGGTATACATCGGCTCTGGCTTCCCTGCCCATTCTTTGTACCTCGCTTTCGCTGGCCCATTGGTCTGGCGCTAGTTCCACGCTGTACCGCTGAAACAGGACGGCCAGAAATGTCATGATTTCGACTTGCGCGACACGTCGTCCGATGCAGGATCGGGCTCCATCGCTGAAGGGGAGGTATGCGCCGCGACGAGGGCGGAAGAAGCGCGCGTTGCTGTCGGGCTTGCGGTCGATGCCCTCATCGCTTTCATAGTCGCCGCCGTCTGACGACTCTGAGCGCGCCCGTTCCTCGTCTGTCTCCTTCCTTTCACAACGGGGCCCAGGGACCGTCTCAAACCACCGCTCCGGCTTGTAGTCTCGTAGGTCGTCTTGTCCTGGAGTCAATTGGCTTTCTTCGTACGGCCAATAGCGAGGGTCTTCGTGAGCTTTCAAAACTTGAAGCATAATCATGCTCCCCTTTGGCAGTAAACATTCCTTCCCCCCAACGTTGACCACCTGGTCACGATCCCGGGATACCTGCTTGGGAATTGCAGGTCCGGGCGGAATGAGACGAAGGGTCTCGTTCATACACGCCGCGATTGCGCTGCCCGTCATGGGCCCAATCAATCGCTCATAATCCCAAGTCGAGGGGTCCGAGTTGCCGACCAATTCGTCAATGTCTTTATGGATCAACCGCTGAGCCGCCGGGTTCGTCGCAAGATTAATAAGTGTGAAGTGGATTGTGTTTGCCGAAGTCTCGTGGCCTGCAACAAACATGATGAATGCGTTCCCAAGAATCTCCTCTCGGTTGAGGACCAGTGTCTTTCCAAGCTTGTCTGCAGTACCCTTTGCATCCAATCCGTATGACCCTTTGATAAGCGCACCCATGAAATCCATACCCTCTTCGGCTTGTGTCCCATTTTGTAGAGCCTCCATTTTTTCATTCATCATCTCGTTTGAGTATCGGACATAGTCATGGTAAGCTGCCGCAGCCAGGCGAGGACCCTTCCACGGCGACAGTTTCAACATCCAGTGAGGAAACAATAGGACAATCAAAATGTCGTTCAGTAGCCGAACCAGCGTGTCTACGAACGACAATGAGTAACCAGGTGGCGGGTCCAGCGAGGCATACTTTGCAGCGGCAGTGTCTGACCCAGGTGGCAAGACTTGGCCTGGCCAGAGAAGTCGTAGTCCGAATCCAACATAGCTAATAACGTTGATGGTGAGTCGCGTAATATCAGCCGAGATGGTGGTCAGGGGCTCGCTCCTGTTGCCGAAGCTGTCCACCCAGGTGCTAATCATGCCATTCGTCTGCTCGATGATTTCGCGAAAGACGAGAGCAGAATTCTTCTCATTGAAGCTTGGTGCTGTAGCCTTGCGATGAGCTTTCCACACACACCCCTCGGTGGTGACAACATTTTCGCCAAACAATCTCAACATGCGATAAATCTGGCACGGCTTGGGGAAGTTTTCTCGCTGAGCAATGATTTGCCGGATGACCTCAGGATTGGATGTCTGTATCATGATGGCACCAGGAGACACCAGGGCAAACGTGTCGCCATGGCGTGTATAGCGCTTTCTGTCTAACCTGTAGGCAGCATCGGGGATCATGAGGCTGGTGGTTCCATGTCAGAAATGAAGATTCAATTGTTTAAGCATATCCATCAAGCGAATAGAAAACTTACTCTAGCCAATCATCCCACCAAGATTTGGGCAACAGCCGTATCAACTTTGCATAGATGGGAGCTAGTACCAGCCAGTGCCTAGCTAGCATTTCACATGCTACATATCAGACGAGCGACGCCGTTCAAGTCAGAAACCGGATCCCATGAAAAAAATTGAGTGACAGAAGGACTAACGGTAACAAGGAGCAGCAGCGGCAAAGATTTTGACTTACGAACAACAAGATAGGGCAGATTGCTTGCTTTGGCTATGGCAATATTCCGCCTAAAACCCAAAATAACACACAAAACGCCATAGAAAAGAGCGGCCCCGATGACTAGCAGGATGTTCTGCATGGTCACGGCGCGCAGGCAGTTCCCCCAATTCGTAACTCAACCACGCTTCTCAGTGCAGATAGATATACTCGTTTCTTGAGCGCCAATATAAGGATTCCCTAGAGTCGATTAAGGTTTTTAATTTGCAAAGTTTAGCATATATTACAATGCAAGTCGGGGAGAGATTAAAGAGATGAAGTTGGCAAGTTGAGTACATGAAACAGTGGGCGAAACGACTGGTGTGCGACAAGTCAAGGGGTGTTGATCTCTCAGACGTTCTGCTGTTAGAAGAGAATCAAGAAGAACCGCGGAATTGATAAAATACAGAAATAGAGGCCGAGGAAGCTTGTGTCAAAATAGTTGGAAAAATCCAATTTCAACAACAAGTCGGGAGAACAGCCAACGGCGCGCCAGCATATATTTCAAACAGCGCAACTAGCTACTCGTGTCCCCG